ATAATCAAAAATTTAGAATCAAAGGTTTCGAGGTCTCAGAAAAAAGTCTGTGTGTGTGGACATCATAGCTCAAAAAGGAAAATACTTTCTACACTTAATGATATTTTTTCCAGCAAATTTTTCGTCAAAATCTAACAACAGAAAACAGTAACTTATTAGATTTTAAACATTTTTACAACTTTCTCATAAACAGCTATAACGATTACAATTTAACTCGTCATATCGTAGAAAAATTAAACGGTCTTCAATATCATGTAGGTATTAATTACAATGAAATTATCTAAAAGAGATTATATGCGGAATTTTCAAAATTTCTTTCCGTAAAGATCCTTTAAGTATGTTTACTAGAAATAATTAAAGATCTTATATTGTTAGTGGGTATTCGAAATTGTCCAATGTAAACGACGAATAAATTTTATAATTGACCAAAGAAGAAAATGGAAGAAATATTTTCGTAGATTGAAAATAAATGACAGGAAATAAGGTTAGTAAGTGCCTTTCAATTTTTGTAGGCAAATTATATATTATTGAATTTGAAATAAACGTTTTCGGTTACTATAGTGGAATTCAATATATTTTTTTATTTCAATTAATGAACCCAAAATAAATAATGCTCAAAATTTTCATAATTTATGTTAATTTTCTTTAATTTGGCATTTATAATTAAAGAAATATTCTTAAGGTTTCTGAACTTTTTTAGAAACTGAAATTATTTCTGCTGAAAGTAGAGTAGTAAGAGAAAGTTACGCTGCATCGCACCAAAATTTTAAAAGTATATATTATTTCTTCAACATTTATGTTTGAACATGTTTCGTAGTTTTTTCAGAAATATCGAATCGTTCGTTTTCTAGGTATATAATTTCCTGTCCAAAAACAGTTACTGATATTATCATCTGACTAGGAAAACATTCGAGACTTACATCTAGTAATATGACACAACCCGAGGGTTTTTGTACTAATTAAAAACTGCAATAAATATATCTCCAAAAACGCATTTGTTTAAAATTTCACTACTTTGCTATATTTCCCATGATATATCCTAGACTCAACTACATATTCATATATAAAAAAAATGTGCATACATTAAGTACCATATGAAGATGTGGTCTACATTATATTTCTGTACCTTAAAAACGTCCAATTTCCAAATTATTGAAATTTGATTAATTCACACTAAATAAATGAGGATAATTATTAATTGATAAAAGGGATAGCATCCTCATATTATTGGTTTCAACAAATAATAACTGGAGGGCATTTGCTCTTACGAAAATTAATAATAATAAAGTAATAATAAAGAAAATAATAAAGTAAAAAATAATAAAGAATATGATTATATTATATACAGAATTATATTATATTATCTATAGAAGATATTTATTTTAAATACATTTCTCATTTTTAAACCTTTTAACATGTGGAACTTTCGTACCAAGGTATATTTACATAAATATCTATATTTTAAATAAAACAATTATTGTTGATTTGAATATCTTTTACTCTTAGTTAGCCTATATCTTAAGTATTAAAAATGAATATTCAATTTCGGCTGGTATTAAATATTTTTTTTTTAATTTAAACTAAAAAAAAATCAAGTGGAGACAACTAACGTTCTCAGAAAGCTGTGTGATTTCCAAGTAACGGCTGTAAAATTGTTGGTTTGAATTTGTTTTTGTAATTAGTTTCGCGTATTTGTGAATACTTATACCTTTCGTCATAGGAATAGGCCGTTTTACTCGGTATTTACTCAATAACTAAAAAAAAAAAAAAAAAAAAAAGAAATTCCTTATATTCGGTTAAGATTGTCAAATACGCGAAAAAGTTTATTTAAAAAATATAATTGTGAATTGATGGTTGACTGTAGTGAATAATTGAAGAGAGGAATGGATGGGGTTATTAGTAAAAAATAAAAAATAAATAGTAAAAATAAATAATTATATTTATTTTTATATTTGTCGACGTTCAGGCCTTCATCGGGGCTAAGGAAATGAGATAACAATAGATATGAAAAACTATAAATATTGAATAATAAAGAATTGAAATTAAAAAGGCTAAAAAATGTAGGTGGAATAAAGTTGAAGTAAAATAAAGTAGATAGGGTGAACATTAAAGTAAAATAAAGTAGATAGGGTGAACATTAAAGTAAAATAAAGTAGATAGGGTGAACATTAAAGTAAAATAAAGTAGATAGGTGAACATTAAAGTAAAATAAAGTAGATAGAATAATAACAGGAACAGAGAACTAAGAAATAAATAATAAGTAGGCAACAAAGTAGGGACTAATGAAATAAACATAATCAAAATAAAGTAATACAAGAAATGAAAAATGAATTAACAACGAAAAGTAGTGGAATGGATAAGATATTATGTTGATTATCTTATACATTCCACTACTTTTCGTTGTTAATTCATTTTTCATTTCTTGTATTACTTTATTTTGATTATGTTTATTTCATTAGTCCCTACTTTGTTGCCTACTTATTATTTATTTCTTAGTTCTCTGTTCCTGTTATTATTCTTCTTATTCCTGTGTAGATATATATATATACATATAAATGGGGTGACATATTTGCTAAAATATGAAGTAATAGTGAGCTAAAAGGAAGTGAGATAATCTTGGAATAAAATGTAAAACAGAGAAAAGGAATATGGAGTTATATAAGGAAATAATAGATAAAAATAGAAAATTGACATATTGTTAAATCTATCAAAATATTGTTATCTGTTTTTTTTTTCTTAGCCCTGATAAAGACCTGAACTAAGGGCGTAATCTTCGGCAAATATAAAAATAAATATAATTATTTATTTTACTATATTTTTTTTTCTGATCACCCCAACCATTTTTCTTTGCAATTAAAACAATATATTTTTTATCCTATTTAGCCTGGTTTCTTTCTTGAACCTTCATTATTATACCACAAAAGGTTTGAAGTTATAATGAATATTATGAATTTCAATTTATTATAAGTAGATAAATAGGGTAATTAATGATTGCGGTCGAATTCTTGTTGAGATATTTTCGAAGAATAGCGTAGTACATTTTCTGGTTTTCGTAACTTCGGTTAGATAGAAATTACAAATAGTCGTACTATTTATGGTTTGGAGAATATTTTAAAAAGATTTCGTTTTTTTTTTTTGTTCCATTTAATATTTCACGAAAAGATATAACCGGTTTATTGCAAAAAATCATATTTTTGATGAGGTTTAACTTTTAAGAACGCTTATAGTGAATTTTGATCTTAATTGTACGTTACTAACTAGGTACACTGGGTGTACAATGTTATGATATCACAGAAGAAAAAATCATCTATTTACTTGTTGATTTCACTTTATGATATGTTATTTGATGCCTTTTTGCAATAATCAGACGATAAATAAGATGAATTTATAGATAAAAAGCCCAGTAATTTCATTAAAATAACAAAAACAAAAAATGTAAAAAAAAACTTTTAGACACCAAATATTGTTACAACATACGTATAATTTTCTGATTTCATCAAGGGAAGATTAACCAAAATGTCTAGTGTTTTAAGGTTATAAAATGTCACTTAATGGCATTTTGAAGTAAATCGAAGATATATATTATGAAAGCGGAATCGAAAAACAATTAATTCAAGGCAACATTTTAAAATATTTTTAAAATTCAAAGTATAACAGAATTTTTTTTATTTATAAATTTCTGGATATGTTTCTATTTTGCAAGCTCTAGAGAGTGGCATTTGGGAAGAAATATCCGAACATCCCAAAAATCAACTTCTAGTCGGGGATTAAGAATATCTTGAAATTTATGAAAATAGATCTTGGTTAATAATATCGGAAATACTTTATTTTATCTAAGTTTAGAATATCAAATGTATCATTATTTTTTTAATTAAATACCAATGAATAAGTTTTTATTTATTTTTTTACTTCATATTATTTATTGTTAACTTATTTTAAGTCATTTTAAAGATTAAATTCTTAAATAATGTTTCCATAAAACAATATTTCTTTGAAAAGGACAATTATGAATCGTTTTAGTTTTTTTTATCATATATGATATTTTTAAAAAGGAGAATAACAGTTTTGGATAAAATAAAACATAGTGCATACTAGGAAGTATGATAGTATAACATTAGTCTTTAATGCTAAGAAATAAACAACAATTGCAAGGCTGCTATTCCAGCGAAAGTAAGCGTACTATTGCTCGTACTATTAAGCATGTCCACGAATACTTTTACTTATTAGTTTTCTGTTGTGTTTTTTTTTTTTTTAAATTTCCCATTCATTCATATATTTTTTTATTGGGACTAACCGTAGACCAATTTAAAAAAAAATAACGAGACAACAAAAACATAAACATATAACACAGGTTAATGTCGGCAAATAAATTTCATTTGTTTAAAACAAATTTGGAATCGCAGAGAGTATAAAGTATATTTCTATAATCAAGAAAAACAACAGATATAAGAATATAATTCTTAGAGATCAAATGAAAATCCGCAGATTTTTTTTTATCAACTAAATATCTCAAGTTGTTATATTTCATTGTATATGTGTACGTATATATGCATGTATACATTGGCTATCGCGTTTAAGAATTATCAAATTTACGATAGAAGAATATATTTTTTTTTCAAAAATATCTAAAAGTCTCCAAGTTAAAAATTAATAATTAATAATTTTATGATATTTTTTTTCTTCTCTTGTTATGAAATATTGTGGGAGAACTAAATATTGTTAACGGATGTTTCACTGTAACAAGAATGAATATTTAAGTATTTTTTTTCATTTCGAATATATGTACGCTAAGCAATAATTTTTTCATATGAATATTATTATTTTTATTACATAAAATTTAAATATTTAATTGAAAATTAATTATCTTAATTTAGATCGAAAGGTCAAAATATATATATTTTTAAAGTATACATATTTTTAATTGAAGAATTTTTATTTTTCTATCTAAAAGTATAAACAAATATTTAAATATGTAGTCAGTGTGGGAGAAATTTACTCACATGTATCTGTCCTAACTTTGAGCCGATGCTGCTTGATGTGAGCGTGCACAAGGCAGACACAGACGGCGAGAAGAACATACCTAACCGACATCTCACCGCGGACTGACTGAATCCACGCAGCTCTGGAGGTCAGCCACCCACTACGGCACACTTCTTTACTACTGGCATACTCCACTTGAGTTGTACCCATAGTCAGGTGGCGTACCCATCGTTGCTAAGAGCGACGCCTGACGCTCCATAGATATTTTCAACGCGTTGAGCTGCTTTTGAACTTTAGAAGCACGATATAAAATACATAAATGAATCATTCTGTTACTACATATCTGTTCAGAGACTAAGTGAGATATGCATAGTCGTTCCTCAAACTACACTTGGCCGTTCCGTAAACAATTAATACGGTAAGGTCCCGATAATCCGAACCCCTAGTAATTCGAAACCTCTGCTAATCCGGAAAAGAAGGGAAAAAAGTTGACTGACAAGAGACGGAATGGGAATGGTTCTGTTTCTCTGTAGATATTACTGGAATTATTTCCTAATGTAGTGTCTAAACGTAAAACATTAAAACTAGGTGGCCATCCATAAATTAAGGAATTTCTTTATACGTGATTTTTGCTACAGATATCACGAGGGCCCGATTTCCGTGGCTATATTAGCTGAAATGTCAAAATTTTTCTTTTATAATTTTTTAAAGGAGGATGACAAAAAAAAAATTTAATGCCAGTAAAGGTTGGCTTGACAATTTCAAATGCAGGCATGGAATACGGTTTTTATATTAAATTTTATTTCAATGAAAAATGTCTTTACAGCCATTTTATTTTTTATTATAGATATGTGATAGAAAATGCACATAAAGGCATTTAATACTTTCTTGTAGTGGGCGAATGGATACAACGTTGACTACCGAAGCCTGGTAATTTTAAGGTATTTTCGATTTCTGGCGTTATCTATAGCAACAAAATCAGAAACTCCGCGTACATTATATGGCTATTTTCGGAAATATTTATGTTTGTGATATATTTATATTTAACTGATAAAACACATATTTCAGTTAACTTGTGCTACTTTTATATCATTTTAAATTCAACCTTTGATAAAACGAACAGATCATGCAATCTATGTGTTTGGATTATCATGACCATTCAGTACTTCAATGAAAACGGACTACTTTCAACCGATTGGAATGCAGAGCCAAATAGATGTTTCTTCTTCTCTTAAACATGGGTGGGAAAACCCACTTAAAGTATCGATTTAGTATAGAATAAGTAAAGGAGGTAATAGGATTGTTTCAATCAACTATAACATTATCGTCTTATGAAAGCGTTTCTACAATCAAATTGGCTGAAAGTAGCTCTTTTCCTCATGGTTTCATAAAAGTGTCCCTTTTTGATCTAACGTTTGAGTGGAATTAGAGGAACGACTATGCCTATCATCCTAAATCTGTTAAAATTGTTAAAAGATAAACAGTAGAACAATGTTTATTCGCGATAATGAAGACAGCGTTATTACTTTTTGCAGTGAAATTTCGAATAATATTTCATATTTATATAGATGAATAAAAACAATACGATAAATATAAAAAATTCTTAACAGTGATAACATTTATTGAAGTATTGTCAAGAAAATGGTTTGTTCGATAAAGATTAAAGTACGCTTTCTTTCATCCTGAAAATCGTCGCTTCCACCCTATATATTGTATCAATATGGTGGATTCCATACCTTCGAAAAGATATAAAACTTTTCAAGAAAATTAAATACTTGAAAATTGGAATTTTGTCCCTCTCTGGGATAGTGTGCTGGTCAAAGTTTGAAGGTTATTTAATGATAGAGGTAGCCTTAAATTCGATTAGATATCTTATCAACAGGATCTGGTTTAGAGACAAATCTACTTAAAATGTATGTCATGAGGTAACAAAAGAAAAAAAATAATAACCTTAAAATGTTAGACACCAATTAAAGTTGTTATCTTATAAGTTTGGTGACCTTGCTGATCAAATTATTCCACTCAAGGAATTCTTTTCACAAATGAATTCAATCACCATTTTCAAAATTATAAATTATTGTGGGTAATAAACCTAGTCAATTGTTATTTGTTCGAGGAATTCAAAGAATTTGTTATTCGTTAACATCGATGAAAATATAGCGTTGTATAGATTTTTTGGTCTGAAGTAATGAATTACTACCCCTATATAATAATTATTACATAGCATTTGCATATTAAATAGTGATTGTAATCAATATATTTATCACCGCTGTAATAAAATCTCAAAATCTGTAAAATTAAATTTGCTTGATAATGAACGAAACGCTCAAAAGATGATCGCTAAATCAACTGTATAGGTCGGAGGAGTAGAAGTTTGAAGACAGCATTTTTTTTTTTTTTTTTAATTTTATACAAGGCTTTAGCTAGATGTCATTAGCCAAAATTTTAAATATTATTTATTTCATTACAGCATTTGTTAGAGGGTTCGGTATTAAGCCGAATTTATCTGATATTTGTATCACACTAATATTTGTATCATAATAAATATAGAAATGTACGTACTTTATCGTAATGTTTCTTAGAACAGTCTGCTACCTTATTTGTACAAGTAACGATTTACACAACCATCGGCTACAAAAATAAATTTGAAACAACGTATTTTTAGCATGTAATCTATCTGACCGAATTCGAAATATTTAAGTTATATCGATGAGATTTGAAATTAGCATAAGGTTAACCTTCATAACAAAAGGTGAACTCTTAAAAATATATTTTAAATGATACAGGTAATATGATTTTTATACAGGTAACCTAATATTTTTATACAGGTAACCGGAGAATTTAGGCGGTTGCACAACGCTGAATTGCGTGAACTGTATCCGGTTAATATAATTGAGATGATTAAGTTGAGGCGAATAAAATGGGCATGTAAAATCGTTGGGCTTAGTAACAAAAGAATTTCTAAAAAGTTAATATAAGCTGTACCGACTGGCAAGCGTCCTAGGGGTAGACCAAAGCGAAGATGAGAATATTGTGTTAAAGATATCTTTACATATTTCCATCAAGAAACAAAAAAAAATTAATTACATTTATTTTCTTGAAAACGGATCAAATAAAAGATATGAGTACGATTTATTTGACAAACAAATGTAATGTAAACCGGCTTAAGGTAGTAGATAGATCAGTGTAAAAATGTCAATAACCTCTAATATAGCAGATAAAAAACTTTTTACCACAGCCTAATTTTGTCAAACAATAATTTCTGTTATAAGTAGAGGAAATAGTGAAGCTTGTGTGATGCTGGCAACATATTTTCTTACTTTCACTTAGTTTTTTTCGCACTCATCTTTTTTTCTCTCATTCACATCTTTCTGACACCAGGATATGAACCCGTAATCTTACATTTGAAACTAAATAGCTGTGACTTCGTTAATAGTTGTTCGAAATGAACGATTTTTAAATAGTTTTGTAGAGAATTTCATTACCTCTCACGAAAACAGGTGATTTATACACAGACCAATGGTTAAAAATATGTTTTTCGAACTCAGGCGGCTCTGAAACGTATAGATCGATCGAAAACCGCATATCGAAAATTTGAACGGATCGCAATACTTTTCTTACATAGTATAGGTAATAAAATAGTAGAACCCCCTAATATCCAGATATTCGTTAAAAAAAAAATAATATACTAAAATAATTTAAATAATATAAAAATAAAACACCAAAGTTTTATTTCTGAGGAATTTATCAATTTTCTACTTTGATAGACTGAAAAAATTTGATTCGACTTATAATAACCAAAATCTCAAGTTCCCTAAAGCATTGGACTATATCCATCTTTCAGTTTTTGGTGGAAATCAGTGTATAAAATACTGAAAAAGAGTTATTTGCGAAAATACCTGTTTGAGACGAGGATTGTTGAATAAAAGATACTTCCAATACATTCAGACAATGAATTTTCTTCTTCTGTTTGTTACGAAGTATTTCGATGACTTTGATCACTTCGCAGTCCGGTTTGTACTGTTGTCTAGTTAGTTACAAAATCATGCATTTCATTAGAAATTGTACTAGAATATTTATTTCATTAAAAGCAATACAGTCTACAAGAATGCATAACATTAACAATTCAGGCAGCTTACATTCTGAAATAAAATGAAAATGCCTCTTCTTTACATAATTAAATCTTCGATGGCGTCCTACGAAATGTTTTTTTTATCTATCTGTTTTTAATTCTTTCAATTCTAAAGAAAATTAAATTATTCAACATCATCTCTTTGGAAACTGAAAAAATTATCATGTTTTTATTCTTAGCGAAATGGGCAATAACAATTTAGGTAATCATTTCAGAAATAATTCAGATTTACTATAATTCGGATGAATTATAAAATAATATTTTCAAGAAATTAAGAAAATATTATTTCCTGCAAACATATACATATTTTTGGTAATATATTCATTCTTTAAATTATATATTTTTAACATTATCGTTTAATGTTTCTACCCAGTTTCTTTGTGCTTTTCAAGTTTAACAATGTTTATACTCTATAAATACTGTTGTATACTATGTAATATTTTTAATAAATGGTTTAAGATCTTTTTTAGATCCAAAACTTTATTTTTACGGATATATGCCTAGAAAAATTATGAACATCAGATCATCATCACACGTCACCATTGCAAAGCAGTACACCACAAGTCATCATAAGTGTGATCACTATTCCTAAAATAGATGGAATTGACGCAGGTAATGGTTATTTACCGTTTTAAAACAGGACTTACCATGCTTTCTGGAAGTTAAAACAGCATAACTATGCTTCATTTACACGATCATTATTGTCCCAGAAAATTATGAAGTTTCAAGAACTCAATAACTATCTCCTTACCAGTAGTTATGATTAGAACCGTAAGTAAAAGTACTTATATCAAAATGAGTTTAATTAATTGGTATTAAAAATAAAGTTAATCTGTAATTTTTAATTAAGCAAATTTCATGCTGAAGATATATGTTTAAGATTGGAATGTAGAAAAATATATGAAATAACATAAAGGATATAAACGTTTCGTAAACCAAAATAGCATATATGTATATATTTATATATAATTTCTTAATGATATTTACAAGTGTATTAAAGAAATGCATTTAGTAAATTTGAACATATGGATATAA